AAATGGGCTCTGAGTCAGCCGTGATGTCTTAGATAAGTTAGCTTTTGTTTTCATCTCAGCGAAATAATAAGAACCTCGTGGGGTTGTTGTAGGGTTCAACAACAATGCACGCAAAGTAGCTAGACCAGGGCCCACCATGAGCAGCACACGCGTTCAATAAATGGTAACTGTTAATATCTTGTATGTGTGTTATTGGCTGGTGTGCAGAAGCCCGCCTGTTTGCAGATAAGAAAGACAGCAGCTTGGCTCAGGTCCAAGAGCTGCTGGCTTTGTCCAAATACATCTTCAGGTACTTTCCACAGATCCTTCGACTAGACAAAACCAAGTCCCACTTCCCAGCCTCACCTTTCTAACTTATCACAGCATGATCTCTAATTCCTCACATATGCTTGCTAATGATTTGCTAGTTAACTGCAGGTGATTTCAGGTCTGAATCAAACAACAGTGTGGCAGTACTTCAGAGGACTGGGGTGGCCTCAGTAGGTTTACAGTGTGTATTATTAGGTAGGGTGACTGAGGAGATGACAACTCCTGGGGATCCTGAGTCAAGCAGATCACAGCTGCTGAGCTCCTACTAGGGCCAGGCCCTTTACATTTGGAATCTGATTAAATCCTCCTAAGCAGCCATGTGAATAGGCGTTATTCCCATTTTACACATGAGGAGACTGAGAAGGTGCTAAATTAATTGTCACAAGTCATCAAGAGGTGAGATTCAAGGCCAAGCCTGCCTGGCTTCAAAGTCCTTGCTACTTCTACTACCTACAACCCAGCCCTCTGACAAAGACTCTCCTTTGACCAAAACTTTAGTTGGGCTCCTGAGTCCTCTCTGACTAGGTCAGACATTGGGCTTTCCTCCCTGTCCTTGTAGAATCCAGTTTGAGCAAGAATCCTGCTAAGTCAGTTTGGCTAAAATCCTCCACCTACCTTTGGTAACTTGCCCCCCTTGTTATCTCAGGACCCTGGCCTGCCTTCAGCAATAATCCCATCTTATCAATGTTTTTTGTATGTGTTTTTTAACCAGTAACCTCTCATTCTTGATGTTTCCTCCTAGTAATTTCCCACACACTGCCCCTGCCACATGCTGTTCCTGGGATAAATCCCCATTTGTCCTTACCAGAGTCAGAGTTGAGTCCACTCTCTCTCCCTCACTGCAAGACCCCTCGGCTGTGGTTCATACATCCATGGTGATCCCCCCCCCTCCAGCTCCTGAATAAACTCTGCTTTACCATCTTTAATAAGTACCATAATGTTTTCTTTCAGACCTCCATCACCCATATGGGCTGGACCCCACACCAAACCCAGGAAATGTTAGGTCTACAGGTGGGTACAGCACATTGCTTGAGCTCAAGAGGATGAGGCCTGTGAAGACAGGGCTGGTCAAGAGATAGGTGGCCTGGGAAAAGGAGAGTATTTGCTGACACTGGACCCCATATTGGCTTCCTCCCCACGACTTTTCTCTGGATTGAGTTCTATTTTGGCCTTGATCCAGCCTCACCTCTGGCTTTCACCTCTTCTAGGTCACACACTAGTGACTGACCTTCAGGGGGCATTCCCTCAAGCCACACTCATGGAGGTGCATGTAGAGGATGTATCAGGTGGGAGGCAGAATGAAGCAGAGGAGGCTCCACTAGAGCCCAGAACCTTCTGCGGTGCCTATCTGCCCAGGGATACTCAGTCCCGAGATACTCTATTCCCAGTTGTGAGGTGATGCAGAACCCCAGGCATGTTGGAGGCTCAATTTTAGTAACAGCTGGATGTAATTAGCTTTGGTGGGGGGCCAGTTCCTTTTACAGAGGACTTCATTGTTCTTGGGAACCTGGCAGTAATGCTTATCATTTCAGAAACTGAGAAGGCTCTGGCTCTCTCCCTCTTGGCCTCGAGACTGTCCTCCCTTCAGATGCTAATCCACAAATTAAGTCCAAGCCAGGTCTCAGATGAAGTTCAGGGCTGGGGTGGAGCCCAAACTCTTATTTCCCTCAGGAGCAAGACAGGTGTGGAATCTATATCTGGAAAGCAGCCAAATGGAAACCTAGAGCAACAACTCAGAATGTCACATGTCAAATAACTTAATTGGGTAATCATCTGAAGAAGGGTTTGTGCACAACATATGCGGGAAGTCTGAACCAAGAGTGTGAAGGACTAATCCAAGAAGATGGTTAAGTCTGCCCAAGCCTGCCTCAGCCTCACCCAGCTGCAGGCCCCAGGACCTCACTGGATCAATTTCTCCCTGGAGAGCACTGGAAATGGTATCTAACAATCTCCACCTGAGATCCCTGGGCAGTCAAACATTCCTGGAGCTGCAATGACATCACACCCAGAATGCCCACCAACTGTGCACAGTCCTAAACTATAAAAGGCAGTGTAGTGTAATCGTTGCCTGTCTATACTTTGGTTCAGATTGGGTTGGGCCCTGGCTTTGCTGGTTATAAACTGTGTGACTTTGGGTAAGTTATTTCCCTGTGCCTCAGTTTTTCTGTCTGCAAATAAGATGATAATAGGACCTACCTCCTAGGGAGGTTATAATAATTAAATGAGTTAAGATATGTAAATTCAGTCCTAGTGGTTTCCCTGGATTCTGGAGTGGGCTCTGGAGGCAAATTCTCCTTTCACAAGCCTGTTGCATATGCAGGGTCCTGAGCCTGATGTCTGGAACCAACTGAAGCACCACAGTCTAGTCTCCATAGGAGCTTATGGAGTAAGGGCTTTCACACATCCTGGCAGTAGGGGACCAGAGTTGGACAGCCTTGAATTTCCATAAGATTTCAGCCAGGGGAGATGGTTAACCTTGCCTTAGGGAATAAAGGCCCTCTTCAGGAAAAAGCTGGTTCTGGAAAAGCAAAATTGTATATGTTTGCATAATCTTGGGTTTGGTTTCCCTCTGAAGTTAAAAGAGTTAGTTTGTTACGTGTTCAGTGATTCAATTTTCTTGATAAATATGTAAACATGCATATGTACAATATGACTCAACATCTATCAATCCTTTCTTCTTTCTACAATAGTTACTGAAGAGAAATAGACACTGATATTTATCTGGTTCCAATTTTATGCCAGGTACCTGATCCACACTTCTCATTTTACCCTCTTAATGACTGAGGTAGGTGGTATTATTACCTCTATTTCATAAATATGGAAATTAAGGGAGAGAGAGGATAAGGAAATCCCCCAGGGTCAAGGAGACTAAAATTCAGGGCTGACTGCAAAGAACCAATTATTCACAGTGAGTACACAGCATTACTTTCCCAACCGAGTGACAACTACTTGCCAAGTATTGGTCTAGAATACAGAATGGATCCGTCATGTTTCTTGCCCCTTCAAGAATTTTGTATTCTAGTAGAAGAGAGTTATATACAAACAACTAAAAACATAAAAAAAAAAACAAAAAGAAAACTATGGGATAGAAGAAGTAAGTATAATGGATCGTGAGGAGGCCAAGAAAGGGGTGGTCAGTTCATCCTGAGAGGACTGGGGAGAGTTCCCAGGAGAAGTTGACCTTTGGGGTGGGCCTTGAAGGATAACCTGAATTGTGATGAGTGGAGACTAGGGAAAGGGGAGATGCAGGAGTTTGAGGCAGGCAGGACCATACATGCAAATGCATGGAGAAGAACACCGGTGTACTTGGGCATGGATAATAGATCAGAGTAGCTAGAACATTGGATTTTGGAGCTGAACTGTGACAGGCTTAGCTTTATCAAACTATTGGGCTTGATTCTTTAAGCCCTGGGAGCTGCTAAATGCCTCAGATGAAATGCCCATGAGCTGATTTTTGCTGAAAAGACCATTTCTGAGAAGGAACGGGGAGTTACATAGAGTCCTGCATCCTTCAGAAATGTACCATCAGCTCCCAATGTCTCTGCCACTGCTGGTTTCGGGAATGAGAATAAGAGAACAGGAGTCTTTTTCCTGTTGAAAGAAGCATGTTGAAGGCCAGAACTGCTATGGGGCCCTGGCATAGTGGCTGTCCATAGGTTTGCAAAAGCCTGGTTGTTCTGAGTGATGAAAACGTGTCTGCTGCAACAGGTGAACACACCACCATCAAGATGAGGTCTGATGCGCTATCCTTTGCCAGTTGTAACAATGGGACCCAGAAAGAAACAGGACTGGCATTGGGAACACACTGTGACCATCTTGTAATGTTCAACCCAAATTCTGGCTACCAAACTAGAAGACTGATTTTCCAAATTAACAATTACATGTTCCCCATATAACATGTGATTTACAAACACTGACTTATAAATTCTACATAAATGTAAATTACACATCTGTGCACAGTATGTTGCATATTTACATATTTGAACATAGACTAGAATAATATTCCATTATATTTTATAAGCCAGGTAGCTCTTTTAACACTAGTGCTAGAACTATGTATTTATAATTATCAGGCACCTTCCACTGAGGACCCTCCCATTTTTTCTTTTTTAAATATATATTCTGAAATCATTATAAAAAAAAAATCTGATTGCTTTAGAAAACTGCCCAAAATTCTTTGGCTCTGAAAGAAAATGGAGTGCCAAAGTTTTGTCTAATAACATGACATCTAAAATGGAATCTGAGTCAATCCAAAGGAAGATATGCTGGTTTTTCGAGACAGCAAAAGAATTCAGTCTTTGGTATCCACCACTCCATTATTCATTGGCCCAAACTTGCAGGAGAGCTGTTGGTACTTTAGAGATGACCAGAGCGAGTGAGAGAAGTAATAGGTAGATAATGAGAGAAAAACAACCTGAACCCTCTCTCAGGCCAACTCTGAGCATGCTGAGCATTTATTATTTGGAAGTAATGAAGATTCAATATCCCCTTGCTAGCTACTCTTTCAGCTCATTTCTCTGCTTATTGGGTCATTTTCCTGAGCAAGTGCTTAAAATCAAATGTCTCTTTGTTGGACCACTGATCCAGTCAGGAGTTAGCCTGTAGGGTCCCAATAAGCATGAATGGTGGAAAGAATTTATTCCCCTCTATGAAGCAGCCCCTCCCAGAGCCCTCACTCCACAGTAGCTCACCGGGGTCTGCGGAAGGTCAGGCCATAGTGCTGACAGGCCAGCCCCACTGTGGGTGTGTACACGATCGGCATGAACTTCTCCACATCTGAGGTCAGCACTCGGTAGAAAAGCTTCTCATTCCGGTCTTGGAGTGTCATGAGAATGATGTACCTTGGAAAGGGAGAGAAAAAGCAGGCTGACGTGTGGTAGCAGCAGGCCCTGACGCCTCTGTGTTATGGTGCAAAGACCCAGGGCTCTTGCTGCTGCTCGGCTACAAGGGTACATTCAGGGCAAGCCATCTGCCCTGAGCATGAGCTTCAACAGCTATGAAATGTGAAGATGACCTGCCTGTGATGCTTATTATTATACATGGTGTAGGTACTGTTCTAAATATTTTACATTAATTCCTTTAAAATTTCCCAATGGCTTGTGAAGTAGGCACCATAATTCTTGCCATTTTAGAGGCAAGGAGACTAATATGGAGAGAAATTAACTTACCCCAGGTCTCATGGCAGGGTAGGAATTTGAATCTAAGCAATCTGACTCTGGAATCTGTGCTCTCAACCACTGTGTAAGATGCTTATGATATTATGTGGACATTAATGAATGACAATAGCATAATAATTGTCTGGGGGTGGGGTAGGGTCAAGGAAAATCCTGGGCATATAAGCACTCTATGGACTGGCCTTTCCAGCAACACTGGGCTGGTTCATGTCATAAGTTTTGATTTCTAAAAATAACCTCTCCTTTACCTATTCCCTGAAACCTGAAATCACTAAGCCAGGAAAAGAGCCTTCCATTCAGACTCCTAAGAATGCAAAAACCTCTGTGAGAGAAAACCTAGGGGCTGAAATTCATAATTAAATGTGACTGCTAATATCGCAACCTTTCTAGATAACAATCTGGGGGAGAGTTCTAAGGTACTTGATGCTCTGGCATGGGGTGGCATGACAGAAATGCTCTAATGGGGAAAAATACTCTGTGCTCTGGTGAAATGATCACTGGGCATGACATCAGGATCCCGAGTTTGAATCCCAGCTCTGCCGTTTATTAGCTGTGTGAACTTGGGAAAGTCTTGTGTGACCTCTTGGGTCTCAGCCTCTTCGTCTCTACCAAAGGCATTGGTCCTTTGGTGGAAAACTGAAAAGTGTGTTCTGGAAGGTGTTTTTAGCAAGGGAGGATTGATACTCAGGAATAGCCAGGATCTCAACCCATTGCCAGTGTGGGATTCTCTTACCCAATAGCCATTTGTGCACATTTTTTCTCAATTCTACATTCAGCTATGTCAAACTAGTAATCTGAAATCAGCCATGGTACAAGTATTTATACTATGGAATCTGGGAGATGCCATAATTTCCTATCCCACCCCTCACGCCACATAGAGAACCAGTTATAAAAGATTTACCAGCACATCACTGCTCTTACCCTAGAGAAGATGGGGAGTTTTCTTAGCATGTCCCCAAGCACCCTGTAAAATGAAGGATTCCTGGGAATAAGTGGGTCAATGTGGTCAATGCAGCATCAGGAGCCAGCCCTGTACAGCTCCCAGGAAAGGGCACACTCTTTTGTCACTGAGCCTGGAATGTTTCCCCAGGCCTATGAGTGAGGCCCATATAGCTGGAAAGAACTGGGGAGGGAAGGATTTTGGAATTTAACTTTTAGAACTTAATATCTGTAGGAAAGAGGATTTCACTTTGGACTTGATTTCTTCTTTATAAATTTAACGAAAGAAGAAGGCTCAGATTGTTCAAAGTTAGGGCGTGTCTCATCCTGTTAGTTGAATTCATTGTGTAATTTCTGGCTTGCTCTTCAGAGCGACTTAGCTAGACCCAATCAGAGTGAGATTAAAAAAAAGAGGGAGAGGATACTTGGCCTGACTACAGTATGGCCTTGGAATTAATGTGAGTAACATCCTTCAAGTTTAGAGCTTTGGGAGTAGGGGTGGGGTATGGGCTGAGGCTTCTGTGTTCATCACCACTCAGAAGCAATGGATGGTATGGGGGAAACATAGGAATATGAGTGCAGGGTGACCCTGGCATGCTACTGAGCTCTGCCCCTAGGGGGACAGCCACACGCTCAAGGACCCGAAGTTTTGGCCAGTTTGTTCTATAGTTTGTTTGTTCTAAGAGGGGAATTCCTTATCTTCTTTTTACATTTCTGCTAAAGCCCATGACAAGGTGACATATTTACTTGAAAATGCTGACATAGTGCCTACTATGTGCCAGGCACTGTTCTAAGCACATCATAAATACTAAGGCATTTAATCCTCATAACAACCCTATGACTTTTTCCTATGGTACTCATTGTACCAATGAGAAAAGACCCATATAGGCTAAGTAACTTTTGCTATTAAGAGGTAGAATATAGATTTGAACTCAATGTAGTACTAGAATCTAGTCTTGTAGCCACTGGGCTCTGCTGCTTCTTAGCTGTGGCATAGAAGAGAAATGAAAAGCATAGACTCTGGAGCCAGGTCTCTGTGTCCAAATCCTAGCTATGCCCATTTATAGCCATGCTACCTGGGAAGTAACACCTTCTTTAGTAAAGCTGTTAAAGTTGAACCTGTGATTCCCTATTGGCTCTTTATGTCTGGATCTCCATTGGAGAAGAATGCAGAGAGGAGGCAGGGTTATTAACTGCTCCCCATAACCTCTAACAAATGATATCTAGGTTCATCCTAAAGCATCCCCTGTCCATTTCCCTCTCCCTGACCACATCCCCTTAATTCCAGGAACCCAAGCCATGTACCACTTCCTTAACATGCCTGTCTCTACGTCTTTGCTCCACTTCTTTCCTCTTAGTGAAATGCTCTTCCTAAACTCCATTGCTGTCTGCTGAAGTCTTATCAGTGCTTCTTATGCTGACTCAGTTTCTACCACTTCCCAGAGGCCCTCCCAGATTCCAATGGTTGGAATGCAGTTTCTCTTCCCAGTTCCCCCAGGACATGTGGGCTATGCCTCAGTCATAAAAAGCCTTGTCTCTCAGGGAGACCATGAATCCTTTAGGAGGTAGGGCTGAGTCTGGGAAGTCTTTGGGCTCTCAGCCTTTTTTAGCTGGAGAGTTTCCAGAAAACCCTCTGTGAAGAACAGGAAACAGACAGCTCAGCCCAAGGACCAAGCAGAGAGAGCGGATGCTAGGTACTAACTTGTCCAGGTCACTCTGCTGCCGCTCGTAATATCTCATGATCCGGAGGAGCTGGACGTCCTGGCTCAGAAAGCAGGGGGGGATTAGGCCGTGGATTCCAAGCTGCAGCCTTTCTTCAAGTGTAAAGGCCATCCCCTGGGAAGAACAAGAAAAAAACACCCACACGTAAGTGCATACTTGGGAAACAAAGAAACAGGGGGGTCCCACCCACAGACAGGCAAAAGTCAGTGTGACTCGGTAGAAAGGGCCCTCAACTCAAATCCCACCTCGGCTATTTAAGTAGGAGGGCCATCTTGTGCCAGTTACTTTGATGCTTACTTTCAGCTTCCTCATCGGAAAAAAATGGAGAAAATATCTGTATCATCAGGGTTTTTTTGTTTTTGGTTTTGTTTTGTTTTGTTTTGAGATGGAGTCTCATTCTGTCACCCAGGTTGGAGTGTAGTGGCGTGATCTCATCTCACTGCAACCTCCACCTCCTGGGTTCAAGCAGTTCTCCTGCCTCAGCCCCCTGAGTAGCTGGGATTACAGGTGTGTACTACCACACCTGGCTAATTTTTGTATTTTTAGTAGAGATGGGGTTTCACCATGTTGGTCAGTCTGGTCTTGAACTCTTGAACTCATGATCTGCCTGCTCCAGCCTCCCAAAGTGCTGGGATTACAGGCATGAGCCACTGCACCCGATGGTTTTTCTGTTTTGTTTTCTTTTTTTAAAAATATATGTTTTATTTTATTTTTTAGAACAGTGATATGGTTTGTCTCTGTGTTCCCACCCAAATCTCATCTTGAATTGTAATCCAAATCCATAGTCCCAATCACTGGTGGGAGGTGATTGAATCATAGGGCGGGTTTCCACATGCTATTTTTGTTATAGTGAGTGAATTCTCATGAGATCTGGTTGTTTGATAAGTGTCTGGTGCTTCCCCCTTTTCTCTCTCTCCTGCCATCATGTAAGACGCGCTTGCTTCCCATTCCCCTTCTACCATGATTCTACGTTTCCTGAGGCCTCCCTAGCCATGTGGAACTATGAGTCAATTAAGCCTCTTTTGTTTATAAATTACCCAGTCTCGGGTAGTATCTTTATAGCAGTGTGAAAATAAACTAATACAAACAGTATTTACAGAAAAACTGAGAAGACAGTACAGAGTTCCCATATGCCCCTTCATCCAGTGTCCCTGATTATTAACATTTGACATTAGTAGTATAAGTTCATTACAGTTAATGAACCAATAATGATCCATTATTATTAACTAAAGCCTTTAGTTTATTCAGATTTTTAAAAGTTTTTATCTAACATATATAGATATATATATAGATAAACATGTGTATATGTGTATTGTTAATATATATTACATATAATATATATTATTTATATTATATATATATATTTTGTTTCAGGACCCCATCCAGGATCCCATATTATATTTAGTCATCGTTTCTCCTTAGGCTCCTCTTGGCTCTGACAGTTTCCCAGATGTCCCTTGTTTTTGACGACCTTAACATTTTGGAGAAGCCCTGGTCAGGTATTTTGCACATACCCCTCTACTGGACCTTGTCTGATGTTTTTCTCATGATTGGATTGTGGTTAATGGGTTTTTAGAAGGAAGATCACAGAAGTAGAGTGCCATTTTCTTCACATTGGACTAAGGGTACATATAATAAATGTGATTATCACTGTTGATATGGACCTCAGTTAGTGGCCAGAGTCATGCTTATCAGGTTTCTCCACTGTAAAGTTACTCCTGCTTACTTCTGGCCTTGGCCATTGGGAGTGTTCTCAGTTGGTTCTTGGATTTCTTTGATATACTACACATAATGTAGCGGTGGTTGGTTCTTTGTTTGTTTTTGTTTTGAAATTCCTTATTTTCTGGCACTACAAGATGCTCCAGGTTCATTTTGTACATTGCTAGCTGTGGTCCTAGACTAAGCCATTTCTTCAAGGATCCCCAATTCCTTTTTCGGAGCATGGTATTAGAAGGCAAGATTTGGGCACTACTTAACTCCTGTGTCCCTTACATATTTCTAGTCCCTCTCAGTTGGCAGAGCAAGGAAATATACTTGTGTATATTAAAACACAACATATGAATGAATTAACAAAATGTATATACATGCAATGAAAATGTATTCAGCAATGAAAAGGAATGAAGTTCTGCTCTGTGCTACTTCATGGATGAACCTTGAAAACACTACGCTAAGTAAAATAAGCCAGACACAAAAGGACAATATTATGTGATTTTACTTATATGAAATGTCTGGAACAGAAAAATTAATAGAGACAGAAAGTAGCTTTGAAGTCCCCATGGACTTGAAGGAAGGCAAGTGATGGCTATTGATTATTGGTTACAGAATTTCTGTTTGGAGTGAGAAAAAGTTTTAAAAATGGATAATGGTGATGGTTGTACAACATTGTGAATGTACTTAGTGCCACTTAATTGTATAATTAAAAATTGTCAAAATGGCTAATTTTATATTATATATATTTTACCACAGCTTAAAAAACTACTAAGGTAATATATCCCAAAGTGTTGAATTATACAACCTTAAATGGGTGCAATGTATGGTATATAAATTATATTTCAAAAATTTTTTTAAAAGAGTTCTTTGCATGTTTTGAATATAAGCCCTTTACTGGACATGTATTATGTACATATTTTTCCTAGACTGTGGCTTTTCATTCTCTTGGCAGTGTCTTCACAGACCAGCATTTTCTAGTTTGATTGTTGGGGAGCGAGATGGGGAATAAGAAGATGTCATGGAGTCTCTGACCTGGTCATAAACAAGCCCTGTAGAGACAATGTTTGCTGGAAGAAGTTACAGGAACTGTACTCACAAGAGATACTGTGAGAATGGGACAGAGGCTGCCCCACCTTTATCCCAAGATAAGAAGGTCCAACACATGGTGAAAAACAGAAATTTTTTCTGTGCAGAACTCAGGGTGGCCCTCCTGGAGTGAGGGCTACCCTGACACTGGAGCTCCTCGAGACACTTCCTCAGCCTTCTCATGGAAGGCCCTAGCAACTCTAACAATAGTGATCCCCTGAGTTGCTCCATGGGTGGCAGACATCAAGAAGGAAGGGGCCAGAATCCTCAGGGGTTTTATGCAGGCCTGCTAATGTGACTCCTGTTGAATTTAAGGCTGATCATAGCTGGGGCAACTCTGGTTAAGTCTTTTATCTATACTGAGTCCCAAATAATGCAAGTATTCTCCTAAAAGTGAAGAAAGCTGTGTGGGTGATAAATGAGACTTCAATTATGCTGTTGACAGGCAGCTTCCCCCAGATTCCCTTGGGGGAGAAAACCCACAAAGGTAGGTAGCATCAGAGCTCCCTTTATTCCTCTGCCACTCAAGACGATTTCATCCAAAACTATTACAAGCCCTTTGATAGGGAATTACGAACCACAGGGAGATTCAAACCCATATACTGATTATCCACACCTTAGAGGTGTTGCTATTATCAGCTCTAAGGAACAGTCTATAATGAATATCTAATCTTATTCCATACTTTCCTTACAGCCACATTGAGAGGGAGGTTTTACAACCTTCCGTTTACAGATAAGAAATACAAAAATTCAGCTGGGCATGGTGGCGTGTGCCTGTAATCCCAGCTACTCAGGAGGCTGAGGCAGGAGAATTGCCTGAACCCAGGAGGCAGAGGTTGCGGTGAGCCGAGATCGCGCCATTGCACTCCAGCCTGGGTAACAAGAGCGAAACTCCGTCTCAAAAAAAAAAAAAAAAAAAAAAAAAAAGAAAGCTAAGCAAGAGAGGTTACAAAATGCTCCTGAAGTTCCATGGCTATTACTTCATACTCTATTGCTTCCTATACCAGGATACATTTTATAATCAGTAAGTATACTGGGTGTGATAAATTTTTCCTGATTATTTTCTTTGCCTAGAAGTAAGTGATAAAACCATTTGTATTCTTGTCACTATAGTATACATCCTCTGAGGACTTTGGTGAGATGGACCTCAGAAAACCTGGTAGGGTATCAAGGGAGTTATGAGAAAGGAGTGGATAAAAAAAGAAAGAGAGGGCTGGGGGCAGTGTCTCAGGCCTGTAATATCAGCACTTTGGGAGGCTGAGGTGGGTGGATCACTAGGTCAGGCGTTCAAGACCAGCTTGGCCAACATAGTGAAACCCTGTCTCTACTAAAAAAAAAATACAAAAGATTAGGTGGGCATAGTGGCGGGCAGCTGTAATCCCAGCTACTTGGGAGGCTGAGGCAGGAGAATCACTTGGACCTGGGAGGCAGAGGTCACAGTGAGCTGAGATCACGCCACTGCGCTCCAGCCTGGGTGATGGTACGAGACTCCATCTCAAAAAAAAAAAAAAAGAAAGAAAGAAAGAAAGGAAAAGAAACGAAAGAGAGAAAAAGGGTGAATAAAAGTTAGGCTTCTTGACTACTCTCAATTTCTTCTGTTTTGTGATTTGGGATCTTTAAAACTTTGAATACTGTGCTTCTTTTGTATTTTTACAAAATAATAAGGGCAACTTATGATAAAATCCAGAATTGTTCCTCCTTACAAAAGAACTGTAAGAATTGTATAAAAGATCTATCTTAAGAGAGGCTTTACTCTGTTTGAAAGTATGACTCACAGAGACCTCTTAAAGTGATCTGCACATATAGTCCCCCAATTTTTCTTTATCAAAACCCCACACCACCAGTTCATAATCCCCTGTGTTGGTCACCAGCTTTTCAAACAGGGAGCAACACTGAGGTCCAAGATTTTTTTGCAGAAAACTACCTTGCCCTGGAGACTGAACACTTTCACCAAATGCTTTTAGGCAGGTGACTGTTCGCGGCCTAGGTAAAGACTGTGATCACCTTTCTTTGGCCTAGAGCATCCTATGGAGGCATCTAATTATGACATGATTTTTGTTAATGATCACCGTGGCCTTTAACAACAGTTCACTTCTCTCTACAAGGAGAAATGTTTTTCTTGGCTGACTGCCACTACTTTTGTATTTGAGGAAAAAGTATGACTGTTTAGCAACTGGTAATTTCAGGGATTAAAAATAATACTTCTTGAAGCTACTATTCATCTTGAAGCTAATGTTAAGGCAACCTCAGATTTACAAGTCTGCAAAGCAGAAATACAGGCACTGTAGTTGCACCAAAGCCTCCAACATAGAACAGGC